TTATTGATTTTGCTCGCCACGAAAAAAATCAATACCAGAACCATATACCCATATTGATTGTAATCAATATCGGATGCTCAGGGTATTGTCTCACATCGTCCGGCTCTACGCAGGCTACTGACCTCAGCGTGGGACGTTGCTTATTCATGGTTACCCCGCGGAACCGTGCATTCACCGCATAGCGATGCGCCAAAGCATTTTGTTGTGGCCCTCACTACAGCGTCTTTACTGTGGGGGTGGCTAACTGAAGCGGCCTGGCGTGGTGTGGACTGCTGCGCATAGGAGAGGTGCTGAGAGCTGAATGCACGTCGCCGCCACCTTGTCCTTCCTATTGGAGTCGGGTTTGCCCTGCCTCAGATGGATGCCCCAAAGACTCGGGGCCGTGAATCTAGCCGAAAACGCAGAAGCGGTACGGTGGCGGGGCAGGTACGTCGCTCGCCTGACGCACCCAGTGCAGGAGCATATTGCCGGCCTGGCGTCCATCTTTACAGTCACTCTGGAGACAGTGTCAACTTGGCAACAGCTTGGGATCCCATCTTCGCTATGGTACAACTTCTTTGTGGGTCCATGTCCCGGACGTATTTGAAAGCCTATATGCGCATATATGGTGGGGAAGGAGGCGATCGCGTGCGTTAGCTTTGTCTTGATTGCGACAGCGAAAAACTAAAAACCATTTGAGCGAAACTTGCAGATTTAAGAATTCTTTCAATCATGGAAACATATCGTTTCTGATTGGAACCTTGATCATGCAAGTTCTGGCTCAACAGGTGGGGAAAAATTTTTGATCAAGCTAAAGGCGATCTAACACACATCTAGAGGCTCTCAGAACCCATCAGCCCTGTGACACCAGTTTTAGACTTCAGGATTGCCACGCTGGGACTGTCCCAGTGCATGGAAGAGGACTTGATTGTGCAAGTGGAGCTTGATCGTTTACACGCAGACTTGGTAGCGCTGGAAGCTGCGTTCCAACACCACAAAACCGAAGCGTTGGAAGCCCTAGTGATTTGCATTTTCGCATTGACCGCCTGTGGCTTCTCTTGCATTCCCTATTGGATAAGGTTGCAGCTTTGCAAGCTCAGG